TCAGGTCATGCACATCATTTACAGCCAGCAGCTACTCTTGCCACCCCCAAAAGACACTGGAGCAGTAGTTAGGGATAAAAAATGACCCCTAAAACACACAGACAGGCAAGAAGACTTAGCTGAGTGGGTGGAGGGTTTTTTTTGAATGCTGGGAGCCTTCCACCTATTCATTGGGACACCAATATGATGGGTTCCCTCAACATATTTGATACCTATGACAGCATCAGTGAGAGCCAAGCAAAACCCAAGAGCACAACAGAAACAAGCAGAACAGAGGATCACAACCCCAAACCCCTCCAACAAACCAATACCCACTGCTGACAGAACCCTGCCTAGCTGGGTGTCACAGAGGGACACGATGGGAATAATGTGAAGGCTGGGAATCCATCATCCCTGGGAACCAAGGGCTTTTGACCTTTCTAGCAAAGCCTGCTGAGAGAACAGGGTGGGTTGTTTTGTACTCCTGGCTTTCATTACAGCCAAGTGTTTAAGTTATTCTCCTCCAACCACCCCCATGTCCCTCACAAGCACAAATCTAGCTTTTTATAGCACATCCGGTATGGATGTTAAACACATTCAGGAAATGCACTTTCAGCCCCAAACATTCCCTCCCCTGGACCAGTTAGGCTGCAAGGGTTTGTAACATGGAGACGTGAAGCCGGATGTTTGGTTTTGTGACCGTTGCTTTCCTGGATTACTTCTCTCTGTTTAGAGAAGGAAAATTAAATAAATGCAGGGTAGGCTAGCTGCATCCAGAAAATAATGCATGCTGCTTGCAAGGTGAAGAAAGAGAAGCCAGATGGAGAGGCCACTCTCAGCTGCTCAAATTCCCTGCACACAGAGCAAGGCTCTTTTTTTAAATAGCTGACAAAGCTCCTGGGGGCTGACAATGGCTCACAGCACAGTGGGTGTCCACAGGCACTGCTAGGATCCCAAAATCATGTTTTTCACTGCCTTGTAGCGATACTGCCCCAGACTGGGGCTCTCCTGCAATGCACAAGGGACAAATGCAACCTCTCCCACAAAACTTCTATTTTAAGTAGCCAAAGGGCACTTGCAAAGAACTGTCAGACTATGCCAGGCTCTGTGGGGCCCCAAGCACTGCTCCGGCATGTCAGTGAGGCTTGTGGCTCTTTCCTGGACAACAGCTTGGCTCCAAAGTCCAAAACCTGACCTTTGTAATTTTCTTAACATAAGGGACATGCCTCTGGCTTTAGGAACACCACAAGCCTGCTAGTAATTTTCTCACCTGAAAACACCCTGGCTGGCTTCCCAGCTGGAAGCACCCTCCTAAGCCCAAAGGCAAGCATGGTAGCTGGCAGTCTCAGGGATCAGTCTTGGATATTATCCCAAGGTAGAAAACTTCCTGGAGCGCTCTCAGACCTGAGGGCACACATTGGCCAGACTGCCCCAGACCATGTCCTACTAAACCTTCAAGAGTGCTGGACTGTTTCACACATTGATCAAAATACCAGTGCTATACCTCTGCCATAGAATCACTGCACAAAGCCAGGATCTGCTGCAGCAGGTTGAAAAAAGGAAGGCACTTGGGGCTGCACTGCATCAGGGTTTGCTGCTCTGAAGGAAGGCAAGACATAAAAGCCCAGGGTATTTTCCCCTCCCTTTCCCATAGCCAGGTCACCTCATGTTCTGGGCAAGCAACTGCCAGTAGGACATCACATATCAGCAAGCTGAACGACGACCTAATTAAGCTGCTTCAAAATAATCACACTGGAGGAGTTAAAGGAGTCCTTGAACTCATTATTTCTTATACTGATATTTTTATTCCATTGTTTTACATATTTGATGTAGATTCTTCAGTTATCTGTAGCATTAACTCAAACTGGGCTCTTGCTATTACTCCTGAGCAATCCAAGCTCCAGCACAAGCAGCTGTGCCCCTTGGCAATGACCAGGCTGTGTAGGCCCACTGGCCACCCAGCACCTCCCCTGAGCCTGTAAGACACAGGGGGAAACAGATCTCAGCAGAGCAGGAAGGTGAATAGTCTGTGGAGCTTTCCCAGTGGGCTGCCAAACCTGCCTGCATACAGAGCAGCAGGGCATTTGCTGGGGAAACTGGAAGACAGGTTTGAAGATATGGAACCACCAGCAGTGTGCACAGTAAGAAGCTGCTCCAGCTTCAGCTGCCACCCCAACCACCTCAGTGGCCACCAAAACCGAACAAAGAATGCCAGCCCATCCCAAGGCAAGTTTTCCAGCACAAAACCCCATACACAACACTTAGGTTACAATTAATGAGCTCTACAGGGACAAACCCTTGTGCAATGTGAACAACAGCATGAAGACTATGCTCATCTATGCCTTCATTCAGCTCAGGGAAGAGCAGCTGTCAAGGGTCATGCACACACACACACTATGCTTTCACTACCCTGAGCTGACTACAAGCTATGCAACACTTAGCTGGAAAAATGAGTGACAATCCAGCTGCAGTAACTGAATAATAGTATCTCAGGGAAAGGCAGCCTTAACTCACACTGGAGAATTGCTCTACAGCAGATGGGAAGGACAATGTATTTATTTGATGGTTATTGTTTCTATGTGACCACATCTTATGCAGCTTACGTCTTCCAAATATAAATGCAAACAACTGACTTAAATGAAAATCATTGCTGGAACACAGAAGCAGCTCCTCTATTCCTAAGAAACAGGTGATCTCCCAAGCTCATCAAGAACCAGAGTGGCATGTCAGATGCACAGGGGACCCGACCTCCTTGTATCTTTGACAAGCATTATGATAATCTCAGAATTAGGTGTTAGAGCTTGAACAGAAAGTGACAAATCCACATCAAAACGATATTAGAGAACATCAAAGAGGCAAAACCATCTCTCATTCAAATGCACACCCGAAGTTTCTAAGAAGCCACAGCCCAGCCCATCATGGCTTTTTATAGTCATGAGAAGCACCTGTCAAAGGAACCGCAGGCAATCTCAGGCATGTTCCTTGGCTACCTGCAGTTTCATCAAGCTGCTCAAGACATTCAAACCACTATTTCCTTACTAGGATGAATGATTTATGAGGATTGAGAAATTTGAGCCTGAATGTACGAAGTGAGTCAGTGAAACTCATGGGTTGCTTCCCCCGCTTCCCTCCCGCCCAAATCATCATCACACCTTCCGGGCCTAGCCTTGCTCCCACTGAAACCCTGCAGAAAGCCAACACCCATTAGCTCAAGTACCACAGAGCCTGCATTATTGGCTCGAGTGCCATCTTTCTCACTAAGGGTCTTTACCTGGGCAGGGAAACCACATACTCACCCAGAGACTGTTGGGAGGGAAAGCGGAGCTGCTGACTGCAGTTTCTCTTGCTGCTTCAGAAAAGATTTAGCTTCTTTTGAGTTTGAGTCCACTTCTTTAGTCACTCTGTTGGAGGAAAAGAGACAAACCAGAGGGTAAGGAAGAACTGTACTCAACAGCAAAACCAAAGATCCATCAAGAAAACATACAAGAGTCTCCACAACCCCTGCACAGAGATTGCCTCCATCAGTTGCAAGCTGAGGAACACAGATCTTGTTAAGGTTTCATTCCAGTGACAAACCCTCTATATTCATGGCAGAAAAAAGGAAAAGAGTAGCTAATTAGAGCTGGGGGAGGAAGGGATTTTTTTTTTTTTTATTCAAACAAACAGGAAAGCTCATTCATTCAAGCAGGCCTGTCTCACTAGCAGCTACTAAATGCTCTCCTCAGGTCACTGGGGGCAATTCCATGCTCTTAATTGGGCTCTTGATTTCCTCATTTGTTGGTCAGCGAGGCAGCTCTTCTGCCACCCACATCTAGCAGCCCACGGCACACAGGCTTGGCAACATCTGCAACCCAAACCAGAGCACAGAAACTGGCTCTGGGGATGGAGAATGGGAGAGAAAGCTCTGACAAGGCAGAACACAGAAATTTACTCTCATTTTCTAGTTAATTTTTGTTTGAGGCCCTGAGGGTGAAAAATATTGAACTTCAAAAAATTATAAATCAATATGGCATCTACAGCAGGGAATGAATTACAAACATGAGAAAGAATCTCTAGAAAACCACTCAATAATTAATTGTTAGAAAACCCCAGCTACTTTAGCCCCCTCATTTACCATGACCTGCCTCCAGCAACATGCTTTCCACACTCTCAGTAGCTCTTAATGAGGTTACCCTGATTTGCCAAGCTAACAATTTTGCTCCCTTGGAGCACAAGTATGTGAGCCTCTCCAGGGCCCTCCAACTCTGTGGGCACAGAGGCAGCCTGACTCAAAGCTCAGTCATCCCAGAAGATGTGATCCTCTATCCCACCCTCTCACAGCCTGGGCCTCTGGCTGCATCTGCTGCAGTAAGAGTGGGCAGGCTTGTTCCTGCTCCATGGCATGTGCTGATGAGAGGCTAAAAGCCTCACTAGGCACGGGACCTGCCCTGCTTACAAGTCAGGCTAATCATTGCTTGCCCCCTACCCACCAACTTGACACTGCAACTTCCATGTAAAAACTGGCTGAGAGACATGGAAAAACCCAAGTAGCTGCAGCCCCAGATGGGCTCCTGCTGGGCTGGCATTAAGAAAAGTGAGGTGAAGTTATTTGTTAACCCTGGAGGCACTGATGTCCTGAAATCTCACTTGCACACAACTAGTGCATCCACGTCTCCACCCTGACAGTGAATCAGCATCTGAAGCAGCAGCTAGGAGAGGGAAACTTTCTTCCTCCTCCTCCACAGAGTGCAAATATAGTGGAAAAGGCATAAGAGTAAACTGTTGTGCTGTACACCTCCTGCTCTGCCTTGTTCTGCCAGCGCAGGAGGAGATTAACCCCGTTTCCCCCCTGCATTGTCACATGCCTTTCAAACCCGCAGCAGTCATGCGGATAGAGACAAATCCCACACTATGAATATTTAGAAGTGTTTGCTGATCAGATTGCTAAAGGGTGGGGTGGGAAAAGGGGAAAAGCAGTTCAGGAAGAAGCAAAAGCCTTGCTACAGCATCACCACAGTTTAGAACACCCCCAAACACACTATTCACAGTGCTACAGCCCTTGGCGACAGTGGTCATGTCACGCAGCAGTCATACACCAAAGGTTATCCTATGCCCATGGATTTCCTTTGGCAGAATAAACTCAGTGTCTTCATGCAGTAACAAGCCAGAACATTCCCCCCCACCATGATGGCTGAGTTCAGATCAATACAATCACACAGTCTATTTATTTTCAAACACAGCATCCCAACAGCCAGCTCTGTCCCCTGCCCAGCTGAGAAGCAGCACCCATTCTCCTGCACCCTGCAGTGCTGGCTCCCAGCATGGTCCCTCTTCTCCTGTCACCCTCTGCACTCCCGTGCCATCGGCGTTCACCCCCTGCATGCAGGGAGTGTGTGAGCCACTGAGAGAAACATCAGGCAGGCCTCAAGCATGCAGGAATCCAAGTGTAGCATAGTAACAAGCCCAGGAAAAAAACCCTCAAACCTCTGGCCTCAATATAGCCACAGAACCTGCTCCTGGGTTGGATCATAGCTGTTAAACTCTGTATGCTTCTGGGCCTTGAAGAGTGCAGGACCAAGAGAAGGCAGGAGTTGGGAAAGGAGGCAGAGGTCACTGGAAGCATGCCTTGCCACTGTGTGCTAAGAGCTGACAGCCCAGCTCAGCTCCCACAAACCCACAGGAATCTGGAAATTAAATAGCTTATGGGATCTGGACATGCACAACAGCAAGCAAGGCTTCAAAGCCAGTGGCAGTGCAGGGATCTCAGCACACGGCCCTTGGCCTTAACCTCCCGAGCACCTTCAGCCTTCTCCAACCCAGAGACAAACTGACTGATGTCTGCCCTACCAGCTGAGGAAAAGAAAGGCACAAGACTAAGATACACATGAAAAATAGCTCCAGGAACTTGCACTCTGTTGGCTGGACTGGCACTATACTCCACAGCTCTTGGAGCAGGAAGGTACTCAATCCCAAAAAGGGCTAGAAAGGAGAAACCTCCACGTCCTGAGGCCCCTCAGCATGATGCACAGGGAGGGTCTGGCATGGGCCTTCAATAACAGACTTCAGCTATCCAGGGGCACAAGACAGGTTGCTACCAAGGGTTTACTTATGTTTCGATACTCACGTCCTCCATGAGCTCAGGGTACCAGCAGCAATGGCTGGGCACAGAATATAACACTTAGTTCAATTTTCTTTGCTCTCTTTGGCCTGCCAGCAGCTGCTCTAGCATATATTTTGGAGATGTCTGCTGCAGAAATTCAGCTGCATGCAACCTGTTCCACCAGGACTGCCCAGCTGGGGACAGAGGAATGCGACAGAAATGTAATTAAAAGTGACCTTTCAAGGCGATTTCATCACAAGACCCACTGATTGCCTCATAAACTGAAACAAAAGCTGCACTGAGCAGGCTGCTGCTGGGCTGATGCCAGCAGCAACTCCTGCACCACTCCAACAGGAATGATGAAAGAGTATTAGAGAGCTTTACAGGTTATTAATTCAGGTTATGCACATTTCAACCTTTCCCAGATCCCAGGCCAGGAAGGAAAAAAGAAATCCTCCAGTCTGCATTATTATGGGAGACAATAACTCTCTCCATGTAGAAACCAAAACACTTCTTGTTCTTCATGGGAGAAATGGAAGTCATTAATCCAGCTGGAAGAAATCACAGTCATTACTAAGGAAAATTACAAGACCTTTCACTTTTAAATACTTGATAAATAACTATTTGCACTGACTGTTTACTGGGATGCTATTCACACATTGTACTCCAGGAATAAACATGAAAATAAGCATATTGTCAGCAATAAAACAAGCAGTTAGTGTCTCACCCACTTGCAGACCCTGTAATTCACACACAAAACCACTCACTCTCATCACTGTCCCGTAGAGATTTCATTATACTGTTATGCTATTACATTGCATAATAAGACTTCCAAAACACAGAACAGTTATTAATTTTTTTGGACCATGTCAGAGCCTGGTAGCACAGATGATGCTACTGTACAAGGAGTTGTGCAACTGTAAATAGAAAAGTCTTCCAGATTTAGAAGTTATTATAAGGAAAACATGCTAGAAACTAGATCACTAAGTGCCTCAAGTACTTACAGGTGTCCTCCTTAGGACCCTTCATCTCTGAACCAAGCTCAAAGAGGCACCCAAGAATTCAGGCATACCCATACCCACCCAGCCTGCTGTTTTGGTGCCCAGTGGCAGGTATGTTACCTCCAGTTTCCACTGAAGAACTTACCACCCTTTCTTTTACATTTACCAATTGAAATGCTGCAGCTTAGGTGCATGGAAAAGGCCTCAGTTATGTATGTTGAGCACCAAACCACACGAAGACAACACATACACTGTCACAGGCAGTCCCAGGTGGTGTTCCACTGTACTGGAATGTAGCATATTGATTTAAAAACAGGTGCTTGATCTCCTCCCAGCAGTCCCCTTAGCCACATAAGCAGCTACAAGGAAGGAAGAATACAGGCTAAAATGAGCACCATGCCCACACAGCTCCAGCCACTCTGTAAAAGGGGCTTAAACCTAAATTTTCATGCTTTGGTTCAGTGGCAGAGTGAGTCTAATATACCAGCTTGTCTCCTGCACTCTGGCCTTACACCAGGTGTGGAGCTACAAGAGGTGAAGAGGAGGGTTCCAATCCATCACACCACAGCACAGCACAACACCCCCAGTCCAGGACTCGCCCCAGTGCAGCAATCAGGTGCCTCTACTCCAGCACAGCTGAATCCAGTCCTGCTTGCCAGAAACAGAACTTGCACAGGGGATGCCAAGGCTGCAATGTGTCAGCAAAGTGCCCAGCTCAGCAGTGAGAGCAAGGTGCCCTGAAAGCCCTGAGAGAAGCACATCAGCAGAGCTTTATCCTTGCGAAGAGGGGAAGAAAAGGAGGCAGTGTCAGAGGCAGGGAAAGACAAACAGGCACATCAAGAAGGCTTGCAGGCTTTTGCCCATAGTCTGATGCATAACAGCAACCTTATGCATCCCAAGTTCCAGAATACCTCCACCCCAGGTGGCTCAACACAGCTACATTCTCCTACCCAAACCACCTGGTGCATATCAGGCTGAGATAGCACATGTTGGTATCTGGGTATTAAGACACTAGGAGCAGAGAAAACAGCTAAAATCCTTATCACAGTGGTGCAAAGTTACCATCTCCCCTCACCTTCCT